TGCATATTAAAAAATATGTGAAGGCTGTGTTTGTTTTACTTCTACTGTGAATTCTAATTTTATCAAATAAAAATCGACTCCATTTCAAGTCGTTAATTGCAAGTAACAATTTTGGTCGCCTGCAAGACGATCTCCACCAAGTGCTTCCTTTAAAGGTCCAAATAAATAAAAATCGCATGGTGAAAGATCAGGGCTGTAGGGAGGGTGGTAGAGTTTAGTCCAGTGCATTTTCACTAATTTCTAGACCCTTAGGCCTGCATTGTGGGGTGTTGCATCGTCATGCAGAAGCAGGACTTCTTGGATTGGCCGTCAGCGTCTTTTTGACCAATAGGCAGACATGAGAGTTTATCGTACGACGATTTTACAGAAAATCGAGGTGCAAAACTCCTTGAGAGTCCCAAACAACCGTTAACATCACCTTCCCAACTATCAAGCGAGTTTTCGCCTTCGATGGTCCTGGCTCTCCCTTTGTTCTCCACTCCATACTGGACCTCTTCGACTCGGGAGTGTAGTGCTAAACCCAAGTTTAATTGCACGTTACAATATAATGCAAAAATGCCTCCCCTTCGTTGTGAAATCGAGCATGAAGCGCCTGACAAACTTCAATTTTCGCATTTCTGTTTTTCTGTGTAAGCAAACGTGGCATCCATCTTGCCGCGATTTTTCGGAGTTTAAGTTGACCTCGTATAATGCTGTGTACACTCCCAACACTGAATCCCATATATTTACTTATTTTTGCCACGGTCAAGTGACGATCTCTTTGAATGAGCTCGCGAACAGCAGCCATATTGCCAGGTGTAATGATGGATTGGGCGACTAAAATTTTGTACTTTTTCACTCCCTTTCTTGAAGTCGGCACATCAGGCCCTTATTCGCGGCCAGGAGAACCTCCCTGAACTGTACATGACCTCGATCTCGAATTTGGGCAGGTTTAATGCCTTCATTCTTTAAAAATTTTATAATGATGCCCTTTCCAACGCTACGCCTACCGGCTGAACGCTTTCTAACTCCATAAAAGTAAATGGCTCGTTTATATTTGAATGACCCCCGTACATATCTACGTAACTATATGTAGTAAATAAAATATTTTTGCCGTCCTACCTTTAACTTTAAACCATGCAAAAGTCACTGAACAGTGAACAGTATTAGCTTACCTTCAAAATCTCCTTCTTCTATCCTTGATATTCTATTTTCTTGCATCTCCAACTTCTTCAGCATATCCAGGATACTAAGAGCTTTTTGAGGGATCGAAGTTAACAGGTTGCCTCCAAGGTTTAATCGTTTTAATTTTCTATGACAAAACACATATATCTATAATAAAGCAGTCAATATAGGTACTATGTAAAAAGTGAATTCACATAAGATTTAACGGTTAAACCTTACGATATCGCTTTCGAATTTAATTTCATTGTCTATCTCAAACGTTTAGAATAAATTCCTTACTGTAAGCGAATCCCATAAAAAACAAGAGTTTAGAAAACAAACGAATATGAGGCTTGAAACATGAGAATGTTCTACAGATCTCTACGTGTAAACAAAATCAATAAACCTACTCGACATAGACATATGTATATATAAAAGAGAAAACTTACTTTTCGAGTCCCAAGAACGCTTCGGGATCTACTGTGGAAATTTTGTTCTCGTATAGAGTTAAAATTTCCAACGTATCCAATCCTTGAAACGCTTTTGCATGTAAGCTGCCTATTCTGTTATGGTTCACATTCAAAATTAATAGATGATGAAGATTTTTGAATGCTGCCGATGGTACTATTGTTAAACTATTTTGGGACACATCCAACTGAGTTAACATTTTACCTGAAATAAACATTTCGTTAATTTTTAACTCCCAACTTTCACATTACTGATTACAGTAACAGGTATAAGTGAATTCTCTTTTCGTACCTTCTCATTTCGTACCTACATTACCTAAATATTATTGAGGCGGAATATTTATTAAGAGTCGTCCGCAACAATATTTCTACAAGTACATACGAATCAATAACAAGCAGTGCGTGGAATTACAGAAGAAACGACGCTCTCTGATTTTTTACAGATTGAATTCGGAAAGGCCTGCATAAATAGATTTCCTAACATATTTCCGGAAACAGAAAAAAGGATTGAAATTATCATTTCAACCAGGCACTTTGGAGAAAAACAAAAAGATTTTCTAGTGATAGGCTACAGGCATCTACCAAATTGTAAAAATTACTGCGTCATAATTTTTAATTTTCTGCTATTTTTAACTTTAAATAGGTCAATATATACTTTTTCCTCGGTAGAAAGCTTAATATTGTCAATCCTATAGACTTCCTATTAGCATCTACCAAGGGGGAGTTAGAGATTGCTTTAAATAAAATGGAAGCGGTATTGCATGAAAATAAATAAAAGTAAAACAAAAATACTAATATGCCAGAGAATAAAAAGTAGGGAAAGAGCAAATATAAATATAGGAGACGAAAAATTACAAGAAGTGGCCGATTTTCGGTATCTAGGAAGTCAGTTAAGTTAGGAAGGAAGGAGCGTAGAGATATAAAACAGAGGGTAGCGCAGAGTCGAGTCGATTTCATTAAAAAGAAATCACTTGTATGCTCGCGAACGGTTAATTGAGAAATTCGAAAACGATTGTTAAAGGTATGTCTAGAGCATGGCGATGTACGGGTGGGAAATATTGAGGGCGCGACGACAAAGAAAAGGTTAGAAGCGTTCCAAATGTAGTGTTACAGTCGAATGATGAGGATACCGTGGATAGAAAGGGTTACTGAAGAGGTATTCTCAGGCATGAAGGTTTAGTCAGAGACATATTAGAAACAGAAACAGGAGTTAATTAAGAGGAGTAGAGGTAGACCTAGATTAGATTACTGTTCACAAATGTGGGATGTTCTAATTTTAAGGAAATGCGAAGATTAGCTCAGGATAGGAAAGAGTGGAAGTGCGTGTACAACAAGTCTTACGACTGACGACCTTATGATGATGATAGACCTCAATAAAATGTGCATTAAAGCATCACCTTCATAATCTTCTTGAGCTTAAAGACTGGCTTAAGACGCACATCAATTTTTAAATATTTACTAACCTCCACCCTCCTGTAACTAGCCCTTCTTATCTGAAAGGTATCCTACCAACGTATCTCATCTATTGATTTTCGTAGCGCCCTTTGTTCTTGTACTCTTTCTTATAACTCCTCATTTTAATATACTCCTATAATACCACATCTCAAACCTTAGTTTTTCTTTTCCGCAGCACCCACCTGCCAGTTTTCACACCCATACAAAGTTATGTTTTAAATATATATCTTTTAAAATTTCCATATTAATCTATCCCGAGCGCAAAAGTGTTTCTTTTTTGTGAAAACGTTCCGACCATGTGCAATTCTTTGTTTAATACCTCTAACGCTTTTCCATTCCGGGTTATCTTACTCCCTAAATATCGAAAATTAGCGCTTTCTTATTTTTATATATGTTTTATTAATATGCTATACGTATAGGCAGGGGCGGGTGTGTATAAGCTGAACTATTTGAACCGATGTTTCAAGTTGGGTTATTATCTGAATCGACTGGAATTGACTGGGTGTCCAACCCAATTGAGTGTGTGCTCAGGCACCCGTGGACACCCCCCTGTTGCGCCCCTGCATATAGGCGTATGTTAATCTTGCTAACTTTGAACCCGAATAGCATAAAATAAGTGGTGAAATGTATTTACAAGTTTTTAAGTAGATCATTACATTTTAATGTAGGGAGTTATAGTTTTATTTCAAAAAGCAAGATTATTCTTAAGGCGCTGCACGAATGCTTTTGATGTGGTTTAATTATTTATTAAGTACCTACCACTTCTATGCTGGCTAATTTTACCATTTTATCGCTATGGTCTTTTTACTACCAGGTGTTTCCATCAATAAACTTGTGAAATGCAAATGTACGCTGCAGAAAGTATTAAATGGAACTAGAACACAGTAAAGTTTCTGGAAACCATTAATATTTGAGGGAATACGACTGTCTAAAGCCGTCTAAACTGTTTGTTCTCAACTTTTTAGTTTCCCTTGACATGACGAGGCAGACCATGTCTTACGTTAGTCTGGCTGAGTTAATGGATTTTAAATTTTTGAAGAACTAAGGCAAAGGAAATTCTACTTCTTTATCAGGTTCACCTGAATAATAATGAAAAGATGCATTCAAAGAACAAAGAAGGAATAATAAATAGTCTCTCATCTTTATATGTTTATCTTAATAATGAGTTATTTTGTTAAAGTTTACACTTAGCTTTGACCCACGGCGAGGTCTACGTGAAGCTACTTTACATGAAAATTAAATTAATTAAAAAATATAATATATTAATCTTGCAGAAGGGCGATGGTATAAGTACCCAAAAATCTCGTTCAATTTACTTAATGATATCATCACTCCTTCGTATTCTAAGCCAATCTTGGCATTCCCTGAAAACTGTAAACTAATAACATCCCACATCTTTAAGTATTTACGAACAGTAATCTAATCTAGGTCTTCGTCTGCCCTATTTGCTCCTGTCTCTATTTCAAATATGTTCATAACGAGCCCTTAGTGTCTCATAAGATGTTCTGCCATTTTATGTTTCCTTTTCATTATTGCCATCCTGTGCTACTTTTTCTAGTACCTCCTCATTTCTACATTTTCTGTTCACGTTACTATTTTCATCTGCGCCTATAATACCATGTTTCAAACGCTTCTACCATTTTCTTTTCCGCTTTGATAATCGCCTATGTTTTTCACCTATATGAAGGCTGCAAATTACAATTATCGTAAAATATTATCAGAATTACATTTTAAATACTAATTATATGCAGAATTGGAGACATTTGAAGACTCAGAATAGAATACGGAAACTCTTCGTTTGGTAACGAAAGAACTCAGAACATCTAATTCACATTATTGTTAAAATAAACTGATAATATAATATTTTGTGTAATCCCTCTATGTTATATTTCGTTTACTTTCTGTAGCGATGTGACCTTCAGTTTGACCGGTGCAAAGTAGAAAAGAACAGAACTAGACCAGAAAAGGAAGGAGACAACTCTCGGCCACTCTTAACCGGTGATGAGCGTATAATCCGCACAGTGGTACACGGAAAAATTGACCATTTTATCCGCTACAATTGCATTGTTCAAATGTGCTGTTATTAGTACCATTTAGGTACTACTGAAAATACCAACGAGATGTTTATTCATATTTGAAGACATATTAAAGGCTTTAACGCTTGTTTTCGACTCGCACTACTATTCATGATTGAACAAAACATTTGGCAGGTACTGTATGAAAAAGTATGTTTAATGAACAAGAGTCGAGTGTAGGAGAGTAGACAATTTTTGACACCTGAATAAATTGTTGTGTACACCACATTTCGAATATTTTATAAAGAGAAAGTAAACATATCTACCGCTTTTCTTATGGAATTTACAGAGTACTATATCGTACTTTCAACCCTTAAAAACAATGTGAAAAACAAATCAGAGAAGAAGGTCAAATTTTCAAATAGATGTGGTTGAAAAAATATGCTCTACGTGTTCACAAAATTATACTTTTTCAGTCGTAAACAAATGTCGACAATGAAATGTGTAACTTCTATGTTCGGCGAATGCTTTACGTTACCTATATAGGATATTTATTTTTAAAGAATACCTAACTTAAGGTTTTCTTATTTCGGTCTTCTTTACGAGGGTGTATATCTTTAGTGCTTATGTAGCTTCATCGTAAACTTTTATTTACTTTGCTAAGTACGCAGTTTAAATAAAAAATTGCTTTTATAGGGAAAAAACTCGTTTAAGAATTTAATACTAATAGAATTCACCTTCTTTCGGTTATCACTGAATTAAATACTGTCAATAATCACTTATAGTAAATAAGGCCCAATAATAAGTAAAAAAGAGAACTAGCAGTAATATTAACAATTGATTATTTATTGCTTCAAAATAGAAAAGAATCTGAATTTAATACCACTAAGTATATTATTAAAGGTCGCTTCTATAATTGATAGGTGCCTACGTATGTTAAAATAAGAATGATCAATCATTCTTACCTTTCATTATTAATGGAACTCCTTTATGTGCAGTACTTAGTGTAGTGTTTAACCTCTTCAATTTTTTATTGTACGCGTATTTTCAGAACAATTATTTAACAACAATTTTATTATTATTGTCTTTGACTTAATATCTATTGCTTTCTGAACATTCTACAAGATTTTATTTTACTGATTTAGTTTGGGTAAAACTTTTAGATCATGAAATAAAATGGTATGTGTGATATTTTTTTCTTTTTAAGCTACAAGCTAGTTTATAAACCCCAGAATATCATTGCTTATTTGCTTCATCATTACTATTGATAATAAATTGGCCGAGGTAACGCTATTGGTTGTGCCGGTATACAGCAGTATCGAATTTTAAATGGGGTAGTTGTCGACAATGAGTGAATACGCGATACTCGAGTCAGTATAGGCAAGGAAGCAGCGACATTAAAAGTATCGTCATCGCGGAATTGTAAAATTTTTAAAAAAATTGATAATTGCTTTAGTACGCGCTAATTTACTTAGCCGAAAGAATATTAAAAAAATATTTGTAATAAATAAGAAAAAATATTTTACCATCATCGTGCATTTTAAAGAATTCAACTGTATTCGATAAGAAATTTGTTAATTTAAAAGAAGGAGCATGACATACCTACTAAAGGGTGTGAAAGAGGGTAAAAATTATCGCGTACACTTTAATGTTTTAATGTGATTAATAAAAATATCAATTCATTAAGATTCGTGATGATTATAGTAAAATATTTTTTCTTTTTTCCATCAATAAA